ACCCCCCCCCATTTGTGGGGTAGGGCCGGGCTCGACCCCCCCCCCGTGTGTGGGGTAGGGCCGGGCTCCCCCCATGGGTGGGGCGGGGCGGGGGCCGGTTGCCGGGAGGGCCGGGGAAGGCGCCGTGCAGCGGGTTTGCAGGGACCCCCGCGGGGTGACAGTCCCGGCGCGGGGCGCACAAAAGGGGGCGGGGGGGGGCAGACAGGGATTTTTGTCTTGAAGCTCTTGAGCCAGCCTCCAATTGTCTTTGTTACGGAGCTGGGGGGGGGGGGGGCTGCGTCTGTGGCTCCGCGCGTGGGGCTGTGGGATGGAATCGGAGCGGGACCCCTCCGCGCACACGCGTGGATCTCCGCACTCTCTCCAGCCGGGCCGCTGTGTCATGCGGAGCCCGCCTGGGACGTCTGGCTTTCGGGGCTCCCGCCGGTGTCCGTCCCACGGGGCTGGCTGGGGGACGGGGTCACGGGCTCCCCACAGACCCACGCGGCTCCGATTAAACTTTCCTCCTATTAAATCCCCGCGGCCCAGCGCGGGGCGCATTGTCCGCTCCGGGGCGCACGGCCGAGGCGGGGCTTCGCCAGGGACCCCCAGCCCCAGCCGGGCGGCTCCGCCTGGGACATGGGGACCCCCCGGTGACAGGGCAGCCGGGCGGAGCAGTGGCTGGGGCCGCCCCCCAGTCTAGACGAGCCCGGAGCCGGGGGCGAGGGGGATGCCCGGTCTGAAACGGCAAAGCCCGGCCGGGAGCGTCCCCGAGAGCCGGGCCCGGCTCCGCGGGGCAGGACGTGGGGCTCGTGTCCGGAGGGAGCGGGGCGAGCCCCAGCGAGCCAGCGTCGCCCTTTGTCCTCGGGGAGTTTCCCCGGCACCTCCGGAGGACGCCCCCCGGCGGTCCGGCCTGCCCCCCCCCCTTCTCCAGCACAGCGCTGGGTTCTCTGGAGGGGTGTTCGCTGGGCAAGCCACGGCAGAGAAGGGGCAGGGCTGGGTCTGCTGAGGGTTGTGAGTCTGCACCCCAGTCACCTGCTGTCTCCCCCCCCACCCCAGCTCTCTGGGACCCCCCCCCCATCCTGACCGGTGGCTCCGGTGCAAATTCCACCCTGGGCTCCTGCAGCTCTGCTGGTCTGTTTGAGGGTCCAGCCCTGGGCCCCTAGCCAGGATCTGAACCCCAGTGGGAGGGAGGCGGCGGCTGGAGCATGAATTCTCTGCTTGGCCAGTTACCATCCTAGACCTGGTGTGCTGCAGGGTTACGCTGCGGACTGCCTCCGGCTGGCGGCCGGCTCAGCTGCTCCCACTTAGCCAGGTGGCCGGGCAACCCCACCAGGGGACCCAAGTCTGTTCCAGGCGGAGATGAGGTGTCATTTGTATTGAATGCACCAGGGTAAGCCCTGCCCTGGGGTGAGCCAATGGAGCTCTGCTGGGGATGACTCTGGCAAGCGTGGCAGGAGAGTTGTAAAGTGGGTGAAACATAAGAACCGCCAGACTAGGTCAGCCGAAAGGTCCATCCAGCCCAGTGTCCTGTCTTCCGACAGCGGCCAGTGCCAGGTGCCCCAGAGGGAATGAACAGAACAGGGCAGTTATCAAGTGATCCATCCCCTGTCACCCATTCCCAGCCTCTGGCAAACAGAGGCTAGGGCCACCATCCCTGCCCCTCCTGGCTAATAGCCATTGATGGACCTGTCCTCCAGGAACTGATCTAGTTCTTTTTTGAACCCTGTTATAGTCTTTGCCTCACAACATCCTCTGGCAGAGCTCTGTAGGCTGACGGTGAGTGCGCTGGGTGAAGAAATACTTCCTTGTGTTCGTTTTAAACCTGCTGCTTTCATTTGGTGACCCCTAGTTTCTTGTGCATCAGCTCCGGGTGCCAGGCTCCCAGGAAATGGGTGTCTTGGGGCATCTCAACGGCTCCACAGCTCCTCTGGGCAGTCCCTCTGCTCCTTGGCCACCTGTGGCTGACCCAGTGACGGGAGACATGGCTGCTTTAGTTAATCTTCTCTGCATTGCACAAGGCAGACACCACCCTGGCCTATCAGCTCTCTCTGTCTCCATGCACAGCCAGTCCTGCCGCATTGGCACAGAGTCTGGGCTGGGGGGGGGGTGCACGTTTCTGGCCCCAGAATTACAGCTTTGGTGTAAGAGTCGTATTACATGTCTAGCCTTGGCACTTGATCCCAATACAGGGGTGGGCCATGGTGTCTGCAGGCCGTGGGAAAGAGCAGCTCTGGGAGCTACCTCCACACCTTAGAATGGAGTGATAACCCTGGAACCTAATGATGGCAGTGGCATAAGTGTCATGGTTGTTAACATTTTAGCAGGAATGTCTAGTTACTCTTTCAGGTGTGCGTGGCCCCTATGAGTCCTTGCTGGGGTGTGTGCTCTTCCCGTGACTTCCCACCTGTCTGCAGAGGCAGCACCTGTCTGGGAACTCACCAGCTCAGGTGCAGAGCCAGCTCCCCGGGGCATCACAGGCTGGCTCTGTCACTGGGTGCAGGGCTTTGTTGTTAACGGGCTCAGATCTGCAGCAGGAACAAAGGAAGGGCTGTGTGCGGAGGGGCTTGGAGTGTGAATGGCTGCAGAGAGATGCCCCAGCATGCCCTGGGTGGCTACAGGACCTTTTTATCAAAGGCTCCAGAGGTGATCCCAGCAATTACAGGCCAGTAAGTCTAACTTCAGTGACAGGAAAACTGGTTGAAACAAAATCATCAGATACATAGATGAACATAATTTGTTGGGGAAGAGTCAACATGGTTTTTGTAAAGGGAAATCATGCCTCACCAATCTACTAGAATTCTTTGAGGGGGTCATCAAGGGTGATCCAGTGGATATAGTGTACTCAGATTTTCAGAAAACCTTTGACAAGGTCCCTCAGCAAAGGCTCTTAAGCAAAGTAAGCTGCCATGGGATAAGAGAGAAGGTCCTCTCATGGATCAGTGACTGGTCAAACGATAGGAAATAAAGGGTAGGAATAAATGGTCAGTTTTCAGAATGGAGAGAGGTAAATAGTGGTGTCCCCCAGGGGTCTGTACTGGGACCAATCCTATTTAACATATTCATAAATGATCTGGGGAAACGGGGAAACAGTGAGGTGGCAAAGTTTACAGATGATACAAAACTACTCCAGATAGTTAAGTCCCAGGCAGACTGCGAAGAGTTACAAAAGGATCTCACAAAACTGGGTGACTGGGCAACAAAATGGCAGATGAAATTCAGTGTTGATAAATGCAAAGTAATGCACATTGGAAAACATAATCCCGACTCTACATACAATATGAAGAGGTCTAAATTAGCTGTTACCACTCAGGAAAGAGATCTTGGAATCACCATGGATAGTTCTCTGAAAACATCCACTCAGTGTGCAGCAGAAGTGAACAGAATGTTGGAACCATTAGGAAAGGGAGGGAGAATAAACCAGAAAATATCATAATGCCACCATAGAAATCCGGGGCATGCACGAATACTGCGTGGAGTTCTGGTCGCTCCATCTCAAACATGATATATTCTAATTGGAAAAAGTACAGAGCAGGGCAACAAAAATGCTTAGGGGGATGGAACAGCTCTGGTATGAGGAGAGATTGAAAAGACGGGCTGTTCAGCTTGGAAAAGAGACGACTAAGGGGGGGATGTGATCGAGGTCTATAAACTCATGACTGGTGTGGAGGAAGTGAATAGGGAGGTGTTATTTACTCCTTCACATAACACATGAACCAGGGGTCGCCCAATGAAATTAATAGGCAGCAGGTTTAAAACAAATACAAGGAAATACTTCACACAACACACAGTCAACCTGTGGAACTCCTCGCCAGGGGGTGTTGAAGGCCAAAAGTATAACTGGCTTCAGAAAAGAATGAAATCAGTTCCTGGAGGGCAGATCCATCACTGGCTATTAGCCAAAATGGACAGGGATGCAGCCCCATGCTCTGTGTGTCATTAGCCTCTGTTTGCCAGAAGCTGGGAATGGGCGACAAGGGATGGGTCACTGGATGATTCCCTGTTCTGTTCATTCCCTCTGGGGCACCTGGCACTGCCCTGTTAGAAGACAGGACCCTGGGCTAGCTGGGCTCAGCACGGCCGGCCTGATGAGGCTTGTACAGGCCCATGGAGCGCACTCGGTGAGAGACCCATGCTGGACCGGCGCCCTCATTACCAGTCCTTCCCCAGACCAAGTCATTTACTGGGATTGAGCCTAATTAGGTCAGGGGCCTGTCAGGAATCCCAGCCAGCCTCTGCGCCTGCCCCGTGTGAGCGCAGCCCCGCGGCCCTGCCAGCGCCCAGCGTGTCAGCCGCCCGGCAGGGCACCTCTTTAATGGGATTTTCTCTTCCCCTCGGAGCAGTGATGATGACACTGCGCGGTGACAGGGCTGCCGCGAGCTGTGGACACAGGGAAGCTCTAATGACCGAACCACCTTTTCCTAAACCTTCGGGCAGGGGGCGCGGGGCTGGGTTTGCACAGACACTCAGGTCTGCCACAGCCCCAGGCTCGTCCCTCTGGGAGCTTGGCAGGGTCTGTTCTCTAGCCCCCGCCCGTCCGTGCGCTCGGAGCAGCGCGTGAAGCTGACAGCCCCTGTGGGCTGGGGGCACCTGCCAGCTCCCAGAGGGGACCCCTGTTGGCAGTTCATGTCGCAGCCGGCCGCTGTGACTGAGTCTGGAGGGGTCCGCGAGCCCCTCTCACTGCCTGCTGCAGCTCG